ACAAAGATAACAGGCAAACATAATCAAAGAGACAAACATCATGAACGAAATAATATGAATTAAGAAATTCAAAAGAGAAACAAAGGAGTTTAAAATATTCTCTCTATAGGGAGTTCTGATATCTCTCTCCAAAATCTCTTAATAATTTGCAATAAAATAAAGCATAAGTGTTTCTAAAACCACGATAGGGACCAATGTTGCATTTTGGTAGAAGTTTGGTTATCTTTGTAAATCTTCAAAACTTGGAAAACTCGAGTTCTCTCGTCATGTTGGTCGATGTTGATCGATACAGATAGGTGGTTTCGGTCGACACTACTTCAAAAATTGTCTGCAAGTATGATCGGTCAGCTCCTATGCTCATGAAAGCTCCAAATTGCTCCATTTTGCTCTAATCCGTTCCAAATAGCTCATAAACTTGAAAAGACCCTGAAAAGTATAGAAAGATTAAAAAATCCCACTCATATCATGGCTTAAAACCGTAAAAACCATGATATATCATTGACCGGTAGCTCGATCTGTAGCTCGATCGTGCTGTCGATCGTGTGCTCGGTCATGTGATCTTCTTTGCCATCTTGAACAGCTAAAACTTCTCCTTATGACCCAACTAACTCCTTAGTGACCAATGGTTCAGCCTCTATCTTGTATGAACACAATATCTTCTCATGCAAAAATCCATCGTCACTGTTCTTTGTCAAATCGTTTTGAAGACAATATTCTTCAACAAAATCTTCCAATAACTCATCACCCAAGCAATCCATTTCCTGAATCCAGAAGACCTACCCAATAATTGTTGATTTCCTCATGGCATCCTTAATATCAAACTTCTTGGTGAAATATTTCCCCTAATTGAGGTCAATATTCTCATTCCTGACATCAGTGGCTACAAAAGATCTTCCCAATATCAATTGATCCTTAGGTTCTTCATCCATTTCAAATACCACGAAGTCGGTTGGAATATCAACTACGCCAATACGATTTGGTAGATCCTCCAATAGGCCATGCGGAATTCTAACGGATGTATCAGCTAGGATTAGTGATATGTTGCATAAATTGTATTTTGTGAAACCCAAACTTCTTGTAACATTAACAATAACAATAAAAATAGTATTCTAGTCCTATACATATGTGAATTTGATTTGGAACATGATGAAGGGTTGAGTGATTGCTTTGGAGATCGTGGCCCAGAAAGAAGAATACCTAGAAAATGTAAATGTGGTGCAGGGTCTATAATCAAGAATGCAGATACAATGTAGAATCCAGGAAGACTCTTTCATTGTTGCCCTTATCGATCAAAGAAGGTAATGTTATATTTGAATTTGATTTTGAAACAAACTAGAATTTGTAATTTTATTAGTACAAAAATACTTATTATGGTTGTAGGATAATCGACATTTTTTAAATGGAATGATATATCCATGGTGGAAGAGATGGAAGAGGTTGAAAGTGTTGCTGAGAAGATACAAATAAAGGTAGGAAGTTTAGAGAAAGGGTTCAATGAAGTGGAAGCTGAGATGGAGAGCTTAGCAATGGAGACACGCACATATGAGGTTGTTTCGAATAGCTATGGAAATGAGATCCAAGCCATCAAAGCTATTGCACAAGGATGTTAGAAAAAGATTGGAGAGCTCAAAGCCAAGATTGTTTGATGTGAGAAAAATATTCAATCTCTCCGTTGCTTCAAAATTTTTATTGTATGTAGTGTAGTCATGTTTGTTGTGTATGCATTGATCTTTTAACAATGACAGTGATGCAAGTTTGTATTATTTAAGAGTTATGTAATGGCTTAAAACTACTTATGATACCAAATCTGAGGCATTTACTAGAAAAAAGCACAACAAAATCATTAAAAACATTAATCCATATATTTCGATCAATCCCTAAACATTCCGATATTGTTTACAAAAACCAACCACCATCCTAAACATTCATTCGATTGTCTAAAAAACCAACAACCATCCAAAACATTCCAATAATTAAAAAAACGAAACACAATATGTAACATTCAATCATCAAGTGAAATCTGTGATGCTTGGGTTGCTTGGGTTGCTTGGCTTCCTTGGTTTGACTGAGTAGGACCATCCTTCGGTCGTCTTCTTAGCTTAGCTTGAATCCCAACATGAGAACAACTTCTTATGTTATGTCCTGTGATGCCACACCGAGCACATTGCAAAGTGATTCCTTGTTTGCTTATTTTCGTCTTCTTGGGAGGAGCCTTTTCTTCTACTTCATTTCCATGCTTTTACTCTTTCTTTGGAGACTCATTCTTGTCCTTGATTCTCTTTTGCTTCTTTGTACGACATAGAGTTGATTCTCTATATTGAGGTTGAAGCTCTTGTTCCCCAGATTTTCTCCAAAAATGCAGTTCATTAACTCCCATCAGTTGCTCATTGTATTGAGCAACCCATCTTGATGTTAAATACCAGTCAGAGTTGACAAAATCTTCAAGTTTCAGATTCTTCTTCAACCCAATTACACGCAAAACATGACGACAAGGAATTCCAGTCATACTCCACCTTCTACATGCACATGTTTTTTCATTCATATCAACCTTGAAACCATGATGAATATGCTCAGCCAATTCATAAAACCCATTGCCACAAGGAATTACCTGACAATTCTTCAAGTGCTTATGCTCCTCTTTTATGGTTTTGGTCACCTTCAAAGAGTATTTCCCCTTATGCTTTGCAGCCTTCTTTCTTCTCATGTCGTTCCTGATCAAGCATTGTCGTCTTATAGTCTCTAAAATTGCTACCAATGGCATCTCTCTTGCTTGGTTGATAGTATTGTTGTAAGACTCTGAGAAGTTGTTAGAGACATCTTCACACATTGATACTGTACTGAAGAAAGCATGGCTGCAATTCTGAGGATTCTTCAACATCACTGCCTGAAAAACACCTTAATCAAACTTCCTCAGTTCCTCAACTGCTTTGTTATAATCAGCTTCATTGAAACTTTTTGCAACAGCATAGGATAGGTGTTTAGGCAACTCTTTCCTTGGATATACTCTCCTAAGGTTCCCATATATGTGGTGTGCACACATACGATGTTGAACGTCTAGTAACTCTTGTTCCACAACAATAAGCAAACCCTATTAGAAAAGAGCAATGATATCAAACTCACATTACAACATTACTGTAAAAATATATTTCAATTAGAGGAAGCCAGCTTACCTTCCAGCTTACCTTCTGCCTGGCTCAGATGAGAGTAAATCCTTCTCTATCTCCAAGTTACTAATCAGTTTTGAGATGTTGAATGAACCAGATCCAACTATCTGTATTTTCTACTGGCACAACAGCCCATGCAACAAGGAAGAATTGGTTGTTGGCATCTCTTCCAATAGCTGCCAAGAGTTGACCTTTGACATGGTTCTTCAAGAAGCAACCATCTATTCCAATGATGGGACGACAATGTGTAACAAATGTTTTTTTCAATGCTGCCAAGCATACATAGAACCTGTCAAACTGCTCAATGCCATCATCAATTCTTAGTGTTCACACTTCAACTATTGATCTCGGATTAGAACTGACAAGCATACATAGAACAGTTAGACAAATATACATAGAAAAGTTAGTAGAAGATAAAATTTCATTAAAACTTACTCTATTAGTTCTTGACAGTAGTTCTTTAGTCTAGCAAATTGCTGATCATGTTCATATTGAAAGGCTGCCAATGCTTTGGCCTTTGCTTTTCTACATTGATCTGAAGTCACCACCAAATTTTATCGGTCCTCAATTACTGCCTGTATTGACTTCGGCTTGTAAGATGGATCCTTCCTAATGTCATCTAATACTAACTTAGCAATGATCCATCCTTCAGTACCTTGCTATACTTGTTTGGAATACATGAATGCTCATCAACACAAGTCATAACTTTGGAAATCTTCTCTCGTTTTTGATAAGAACAGTAGATTTTGAAATTGCAATCACCACCAATAGCGCATTTCACTTCAGATTTTTCGGATCCCCATCTTGTATACTTCACATTAACACCTTCCTTAAACGCATAATCAACCACAGCTTTTTTGAACAGAGCTATGCTGTCAAATATCTGCTCCAATCTTATCACTCCACTGCCTTTTTCGTACCTAATGCTTTGTTCACCATCCTCAAAATCTGAATTATGAGGGGTTGCCTCAAAATCACAATCCTCATCGTCCTCATCATCACCAGCTCTAACCTCATCGTCATCATTACCAGCTCTTGCATAAGCAGCTCTAACTTCATTGTCTTCACCATCAGCATCTTTATCTTCAATACCTTCTTCATCAGCCCTAACACCATTGCCATTACCAACTTCAGATATATCTTCCTTCTCCATGTAAATTTCAACAGCTTTTCTCCATACTGAACCTACACACATTCTGTCAAAATTCTCTGATCCACTATACAACAACTTCATCTCTGAGAACTTCTCGAAAGGGAGTTTATACCACATTCTCTTACCAAACACCGTCAATTCAGGCGACTCCATCATGTTTGCAAACACTGCTTCTGCCTTGCATTCAAGCTCGTGAATCTCACCTCCATCGTATATAAGGACATTACCTTCTAATAGCATGAGCAAAGTCATAAGCAAGAGGATGCATCTTAGGGTAATTATAGTATATTAATAATGTAATAGTGTATTTTAAGAACCAAGCATAATTAAGTAGTTATTGGTTGAACCCGTAGGTTCTTACATTTATAATAATATAATAATGATATATTTATTAATTAATTTGAAAATTTAAAAAATGGAAAATTATTTAAACTTATAAATTAGAACAATAAAGATAGAAACATATAATTATAAACAAAACATAACAAACTTTATAAATCTTTTTAAACAAAACACAAACAAACTTTATAAAACAAATAATAACAAATAAAAGACAATAAAGATAAAAATTATAAACATAAAAGATAGAAACATATAAATTTAAAACATAAACTTCAAAAAATACAAACATAAAGATGAAACACAAAACATATTATTAAATAAAAGAAAGTTTATAAACATTTTTAATCATTTGGAAGATGTCCAAATTTAGTCCAAATATTCTCAATCAAATCCTCTTTCAATTGGCGATGTGCTTGTTTATCACGTATTCTTTTTCGACGATCACCTATTCCGTCGAGATTTGTAGCCATATTGTTCGAAAATGTAAGATCTTGGGCACCTACTTGGAATTCTTGTTCGTCAAAGAGAGTGTATGAATGTCGTTCATCTTCAACTATCATATTATGAAGTATGAGACATGCTCTCATAATATAAGCGATTTTTCCTTTTTCCCATAGAAGACATGGATTCTTAACCTTGGCGAAACTTGCTTGAAGGACTCCAAATGCACGCTCAACATCTTTCCGTGCAGATTCTTGACGTTTTGCAAACAAAGAATGTTTCGGGGTTTGTGATAGTCGGATGGATTGAATAAATGTCGCCCAGTCGGGGTAAATACCATCCGTAAGATAGTAAGTCATGTTATATTCCCTTCCGTTGACATAGTAGTTCGTTTGGGGGGCTTGACCTTGTATAATGTCATTAAAAATTGGTGATTGATCAAGAACATTTAAATCGTTGCAAGTACCTGGTGCTCCAAAAAACGCGTGCTATATCCAAAGATCCTGTGAAGCAACCGTCTCCAAAACAATAGTTGGTTTCCGGTACCTCGAGAATACATACCTTTCCATGAGGTTGGACAATTTTTCCACCCCCAATGCATACAATCGATGCTCCCAACAATCCCCGGAAAACCCCGTTGTTCTCCAATATAAGTAGCCTTTGAAGATCCTCTTATTTAGGCCGCCTTAGGTATTCATCGCCAAACAAGTCAACAATTCCAACGACAAAATGTTCCAAACAGTTTCGAGCCGTGGTTTCATCAAGACGTATATATTTGTCTACCGTGTCACTCCCACCCCTGTATGCTAAAAGTTGAATTGCTGCAGTACACTTTTGGAGAGGTGATATACCATTTCAGAATGTTGCATCTTTTTTGGGTTGAAAATATCCAACTTCTGCTGAGAGACGATTAACAATACGGAGGATCAATGGCTTGTTCATTCGAAACCGTCTTCGAAATAGCATCTCCGGGTAAGTAGGATTGTCACTAAAATAATTGTTCCACAAACGTTCGTGGCCTTCTTCTCGATTTCTTTCGATATATGCACGTTCTTTTTGTTCCGGCGGTGTATCTTCTAATGTCGCATCTACTTGATTATCAAATAGGTCTTGATAATATTTGTCAAATTCATCATCATTATTACAGTTATAATGATAATGAAAATTGTTTGACGAGGAAGCCATAATAAAAATGAAAGAAGAAGTTTATAAAAAGGAAGAAAAAAAGAAGTTTATCGGAATTAGAAATTTATAAAGAATCTAGAAAAAATGATAAAAAAAGAAAGAAGTTTAGAAAGAGGATTAAAATGAAATTACAAGTTATTGAAGAAGATATAACTTGTTCAATGGTTATGTTTGAGAAAGATAATAATTGAAAGAAATGAGATTGTGGTGAGAGACAATAAGGGGGGTGTATTGAACTGCATATTTCAGGAGATTTGGTGAGATTTTAATATTTTAGAATTTTGAGAGATTTGAGTGTAAATTGTAGAATTTTGGGTTATTTGTTAAGATTTTAAAAAGAAAATAACTTGTGATTTAGTGAGATTTGATTATTAATTTTAAGTGACTTTAGGATACTTATGGATAATTTTTAACGTTGATAACTTTAAAAAAAAAAAAGCTAGGAAGAGTGTGATTCGATCACCTAGGAGATCAGTGAGCAGGAGTCATTAGGAAGCCATTAATTTTGTACTTCTAATGACAACCTTATGACCCATTAGGAAGTGTTTACTTTCTTCTCTGCAACATCTATACCCCTAAGATGAAAAAAAGAGGAAAGAGAGGATTCTTACAAAGGAGTGAGAGAGATGATGATATGATATCGTGCATATCTATATGAATGAAAGGACTTTTTCACATCCATATATATATATATATATATATGTATTAGGTTGTGTACTTGTGTGTGTAAACAAAGGACTAGGGTCTGTTCTTTTTGAGTGTCGCTTGAGACACGTACAACGACTAAAATTTACACACTTTTTCTCCTTTCTTTATCGCTGAATCTTTATCGTTTAACTAGTTTCCTTCATAATATCTGCAGTTTCGATGCCGCTTGTTTTTTCAGCGACGTATTCCACCGGTACGGACGTCGCTGCTCTCCATTTTTTACAAGGTTCCTTGTCGCTGAATCCAAACTATATTAACGTCAATTTATGGTGTCGCTAGCGGACATGTAAAAGAACATGGCCTTTTTATATAAAATAATGAAAACGCCTCTTGAGAGCGAAGACGAATTAGCAGAGAGATTACCTTCTGGGTTACCAAGTGCATATCGTTATAAAAGTAAAAATACACACACAAAAACAAGTAAAGACGATGGAGAAAATACTACCTTCCATTGATTCTTTGGTTTTTTCATCGTGAGAGAGAGTGAGAGAGAAAGAGAGAAGGTTTAGAAGAGAGATGGGTTACGATCATTTGTTTTTTTTTTAATTGGTTCATACCCTCTTTTTAAAATCTTTCAAAGTTTCACCTATAAAGGTGTGATTTTTCAGTCATATATTTTAACTAAAAATATTAGAAAAGTCTCCTAGAATCACATTCAGTAGTTTTTAAAAGATAATTTGTGATATTTTGAATAACAGTATATTTGAAATGAAATTTATAAATTATTGATTGAATAACAAGAGATTGTGAATGATTTTAAATGATTTCTATAAATTTTAGATTCAATAACATAGGATTTCATAAGAGTTTTTAAAATGACTAATTGAATAACAAGGAATTTCAAGAGTACTTTAAAATCTCCTAAAATATGCAGTTCAATACACCCCCCTAAGAGTTGTGATTTTTTTGCAAATAAAGAGGTCGAGAGAGTAGCAAGATTCTTAAGTTGCGAGGTTGAGAGTTGAGATGTTCGAATGATGTAACACTAGGACATATATAGAAAGTGTTAAATTTTACATGTGAATGATATTTTAGTTAAAGGTATGCAATACTTAATCATTTGAACAACAAAACGACAATATTAAAAACTTGTGAAGATCAAAACGACAATATTAAAAAGTTGTGAATACAACCTGCTGAAGATTCAGAAGCTTCTCTTCAGTTATACTCTCTTTTTCTTTGTGCTCTCTGGCTCTTTCTCTCATTTCTTCCATCACTGCCACATCCCACCATTTGTGTACATGCATATCTCCATCTGATACATTTTCACAAGTGAAGTACCTACAAAACAAACATGTGGATGATGAAAACAAACAGTTAAAGACTACTATCAGAAGATTCATAACATACGTAAAGGATAAACAAATGAAGCACTTCAACTTACTTTCTACCCGGGTCATTCCTTGTGTAAGATGTCTGTAAAAGAGGCTGGCCTCCACAGTAACACTTGGTGGGGAAGCCAACCTCAATCTCAGGTTCAGTCCTGCGAGCTGAGTTGAATGCACTTTGAGCTTCATCCATCAAAATGTATGCGGCTGTCTCCTTTTCTACATTGTCTTATGTGTAGTGATCACTCTCTGAATCTTGTGAGTAGCTATAGTCGTGCACCATTGAAAACCTGAAACCAAACCAATAGACAGATAGCTCCAGCCAATCCAGACAAAGCATATATCATAGAAAAATAGACAAGCATCACAGACCAACAAGATCAAACAGAAATGGCAGTAACAGACATGATACAAGTTTCACATAGATGATACTAGTTAAACAGAGAATAAGTGTACTATAACAGATATGATACTACTTAAACAGAGATGACTCAAGTATCATCGACATAAGATTAAGAAACTGACACTACTATCATAGAGATCAGACTATGATCACAAACAAACATTTGAGACAAACACTAGTTCTCATTCAACAGACATTTGAGACAAGTCAATAGTTCTCAATCAACAGAAATGTGAGACAAGTCAATAGTTCTCAATCAACAAAAATGTGAGACAATTCACTAGTTCTCATTCAACAGAAATGTATCCCAAGTCAGTAGTTCTCATTCAACAGAAATGTGAGACAAGACTCAAGTTCTCAATCAACAGAATTGTGAGACAATTCACTAGTTCTCAGAGCATGAGAAATGTGAGACAAGTCACTAGTTCTCGTTCAACAGAAATGTGAGACAAGTCACTAGTTCTCATTCATCAGAAGTGTGAGACAATTCACTAGTTCTCATTCAACGGAAATGTATCCCAAGTCAGTAGTTCTCGTTCAACAGAAATGTGAGACAAGACACAAGTTCTCAATCAACAGAAATGTGAGACAATTCACTAGTTCTCAGATAATACAGGAAATACAACTGATTCATTAATATATATTAAACAAACATACAACAGACGTAGATATGAGACAACTTATTATACAAGGCCCGAACTACTTATTAGAATACATATTAGACATATTAAACATTAATAGAACTTATTAGACTACATATTAGACATATTAAACATTAATAGAACTTATTAGACTACATATTAGACATATTGAACATTAATACCAAACACACAGAACTGTTACACACACAAAATCAACAAAAGTTTATGAGCTACTTAGAATAATTCTGCCATGAGCTTCTTCTGAAGTTTGACTTGATCTTCATCAAGTGGAATCCTCTTGGCAATGAGGGTGTCTAGAATGCTCATCTTCTGGAGTACTTTCTTTGCCTCATTGTCTTGCTGTTTATTCTCCCACATGTCTGGATAGTCTCGAGAAAGTGATACCTTCTCTTTTCCTTTGAACCTCCTCCCTTTCATAGCTTTCACCCCAGGTGGCCTGCTCTCATGCACAGTTCCAACAGATCCCCCTGAAGATGGGGCAGCATCCTCAGTCTTTCTCTTCTTGCTTGAAGTGTTGCTTGTGGGATTCATTAACCCTAAACTATACCACTTATGTTCATTCTTCAGCTCAACCCAACAATGCTCAAGTGTGAACTTCTTCAGGTGAAGAGTCTTGTAAATTTGATGTGCATTCTTAAGAATGTCAACATCATTCATTCCAGATGCTTTTTCAGCCTCTGCAGAAGCAAAAGCACCACAAAAATGGCTCACTTCTTTACTTATTCTTCCCCACCTTTGCTTGCAATGGTCAGGCAACCGTGGTTCTCCTCCATTCAGCACATGATCACTACCACCATAGTACTCTGAAATCCGCTTCCAGAAGGTACCTGACCTTTGGTCGTTTCCCACTATCACATCCTTGGATGTGTTCAACCACCCGCTTATCAACACAAGATCATCTATGCTTGTCCATTGCCTTCTCTCCCTAGTGCAAATTGGTGTGCCTTGAGATTGACTTGGAGGTTGAGTCTGAGGCTGGCTAAAAGAAGGGTTATGTTTGGCTGGAGATGGTGCTCCATGACTCTCTAGGTGGCTAATACCATGGATTTGACTCCTTTGTGAGGTTGCACGTTGAGTATGTTGCTGGTTATAACCCGGGTTTTGGCTGCCTTCTGGAGACCCAAAGTTTAGATTGGCAGAAAAGCTATCATAAGGGAAGTTTCTAAGGCTAAAGTAACTGGGAGGTTGACCATATGGATTATTATTTGAATCCATATGGTGGTAGAAGAGAGATGGAAGAAGAGACAGAACAAAAGGGAAACTCTCTTGCTAGAAAGAGAAATGATAGAAAAAGGGAAAGAAGAGAGAGATGAAAGAAGAGAAAGAAGGGAGAGGATCAATCCGCAAAAGAGAAAAGGGAAATGAAAGATGAAAATAGAAAACATATCACAAAGAGACTTTGGGTGGATAGAGTTAATACAAAGCTAACACTTACCTATATCTATCAAATCACAATCAACTCCCAATGACACAGAATAGGATTCATTAAGTATAATTTGGTTTCTAGTTATCAAAGCAAACAAAAATTGTTCTTAACTAGTAATCTTGTTGTAACAAGATCAGAGATTCAAATTAAAGAATGTAAGAATTCAAATTATAGAATGTAAGAATGCAAACGGATAGATTTTAAGCCATGAATGTACACAACATAACCTAGTACACAGTAATGAAATCTTATGTTTTAATATTCATTCACATACATGATTTGAAGGCTTAAAAATTGTTCTTACATTTAAAAGTAAATGTAACTAGTAATCTTGTTGTAACAAGATCAGAGATTCAAATTAAAGAATGTAAGAATTCAAATCTATAGAATGTAAGAATGCAAACGGATAGATTTTAAGCCATGAATGTACACAATATAACCTAGTACACAGTAATGAAATCTTATGTTTTTATATTCATTCACATACAGGATTTGAATTTCAAACAGATGGTAATTAACAGATAGTTCAATACACAATAAGCTACTACAGAGTTCAATTAACAGATAACAATTCACATTAACTAATATATAGCAATGACTACGTTATACAAATGACTAAGCTATACACGGTTGGACTAAGCAATACACATATCAATAGACAATGATAGATAACTAACACAATGACTAACCAAAACACAATCAATAACCAATACAAATGACTAAGCAATACACCAACAAACTCGCATTCAACTATCAATATTGCATAAAGTATTCAGAAATGGATTCTGAGACATACCTATCAGTTTGGAGATCCTCTTGGTGATGATTATCCGTATGATATTAGCAAGGTCAGACTCAGCTTCAATCCTCACCAAAAATATGAAAAACAAGAGTTAAGTTCATCAATATAACAGTTTACTAAATCCATTAAGGTCCAACCCTACTTAAAAATCAAATGAAGCAGATAATACTCCCTAACCAAAACAAAACCGACTACACATGGAAATCCTCTTTAAAAACACTTAAACCAACAGATCTAAAGCCTACAACACATCACTTTTACAACTGAAAAGTTACTGTGAGTCAATCCCTATACAACTGACAAGTTACTGTAATCTAAATATCACATTAGAAGAACAAAAAATAACTAATGGCTCCAGTTTTAACTAAAAACATAACGATAAAACCGAGATCATTACACGAAGTCGACACAGCTACTAATCCTTGGCCATAAAACCCAACAAATAACGAACTATACAAAAGAATATGAACAGACAAGAGAAATTCATGTACTTGATCGGCTCAAATTTGCCCTGAGCTACTCTCTCAATTAAGAGATCATTGTAGTACTTAGGGATCGAATCCACAGAGACTCAAAGATTACACAGTAAATATTCGGTATTAAAATTAAGCTAAGCAAGCAGGTTTTAAATCAAATAAAAACAGCAAATTAAAATAAAGATTGGTTTTTAAACAGTAATGAGGAAACACTAGGCCTAGGGATATTCTCAGGAAATTCAGAATTGCAAATAAATAATTGTCAGGATTTATAAAGCACCGTTCTTGAACTCAAATCACAAAAATATAATCAATCAACTTTCGTTGCAAAGACTACCTATGTCTAGAACCCTAAATTCCAAATCTCTTTGCAAATTTATAAGTTTAAGACATGCATTTAATTCAGGTTTGATAAGTTCACAAAATCCCTAAACCAAATCTCTTTGCGAATAGGTATTCTGCTCATCTAGATTATTTTCAGGAAATCAATAACACTTTCGTGTCTACCAATTAACCTAAGATCAGATTCTAGGTTGCTTTCACTACTCTAGAACAAATTAACCACAATCTAGATGAAGAACTCTATTGATTAAATCCTAACAATCTAACAACCTAACAATTCATGAATTCCTTTGAAAACCCTAAACCTAACAAGAGATCTACTCAGACATGGTGAATGAAACAAACATCATGAATAAAATAGATATCATAAAAGAAAGTAATAGAAGAAGTAAAGGAGTTCTGAATCTTCTCTGAAGGAGGTTTTGATTCTTCTCTCCTGACTCTCTACAAATCTCTCTCTCCAAAATAAAGCTTAAGTCTTAACAAAACCCTAAAAACTCAATATATATGTCTTAACCACGAACTGGGCTTAATTGCAAATAAGGGAAACTTCTGGGCCGAATCTGCAAATCTTCTGAACTTCAATTAAGCGAGAAATTCAATTGCCGTCAGATATTGGTGTCGATCGACACCAGAAGTTGTGACGCTCGACACCCACATCAAATATGCTTTCCCGGTACATTCCTTCGACACATCTTCTCCAAATGCTCCCAAATGCTCCAAAAAGCTCCAATCCATGCCAAATAGTTCCTAATCCTGAAATGACTCAAAAAGACTCGAAAACACTAGAAAAGCTCTATAAATAAGACTTATATCATGACCAAAAACCCGTAAAAACCATGATATATCAACTCCCCCAGACTTAGCCTTTGCTTGCCCTCAAGCAAAACAGAAACTTAACCTGTGAAAGAAGTTTGAAAACGCGGGAACTCACTCAACTGTAGGAAACTCTGCTTTGCACTCTTCATCGCCTTGACTCTAGAACTTACTTTATGTACTTTGCCTATGAGAAGCATCAACATTCCTTACTCTAATCCCACAATCCTCAGGAATCTCATGTCTCTCCATTGTCATCTCTTTACATAATTTAAAACAAGTAAAGATGAATTCTTACCGAGGGAATATCGATCAATGGCATATGGACTCTTCTCGAACCAAGACATTCTTCGTATGATTTCACTTCTTCTCCCTTTTCTCACTTCTAAGGTAATCGACATCTCCCTACTTTTCTAGAGTATCATTTTATTTTTTCAACGATTCCTTTTTCCTCTTCTTTTTTTTCTTTCTTTTCTGTTTTTTTTTTTTTTTTTTTGATAACTCTTTTTATTCGGGTATCCATGAGATCCGAAGTATGCACGGGTTTACGCGACATCCCTCATATCACTTCTACCTATAGCCTTTTCCGCAGTTTCTTTTAAAGGCTGAAGGGAAGAGAGAAGGAAGGAATCATACTTTGAAAAAGTGCAGTGTCTTGTGCGGCTCGAAAAAGAAGTCTAGTCCAATGTATTCCAACTCCCAAGGTAAGAGACTATGTCCAATTAAGTCCTGATAAAAGTAGAGACAATGTTAGATCAACTGGATATCCAATGAATAAGGACTTTCAGGCTTGTTGATACAGCTCATAGTCATTCCAAACTTCGGTTCTGAGATCAAGCATAATCAAGAGTCATAAGAGTGTTAATCCAAATCAGAGAAACCGTTAGACTGAGTTCATAGTTCCCAACAAAAATTTTGACTCAATAAAACACAAAAAATAAAAATAAAAATTTGGACTGACTCGATAAAACTCCAAAAGAATAAACAATGTTAGGAACTACCTCCCCCAGACTTAAACAACACTGTCCCTAGTGTTGCCAAGCCTAAGATTGGCAAATAAAAGAAAATAAAACTAAAATAAATGCAAAAGAAATAGAAAAGAAAAAAAAAAACTCACAAGTGGGTTGCCTCCCACTAAGCGCTTGTTTTCAGTCATTAGCTTGACTTTGTCGGGGTTCATGCATCCGGTGGGTCGGGAAGCGGCAGTAAATGCCTCCGAGAATAGTGCCTCATCATCAAAGGTGGTTTATAAGCATTAGGTGTAGGAGATCGACCAAGTACACGAGGAACAACAGCAGGGCATAGTCTAGGTATGGGTGGGACACTTCTTCTACCTGCAACATCATCAAAAGAACCAACAAGCGCTCTACGATAATCTCGTGGCTTGGTTAACTGCAAAACAGTCTTTGTACCTTTGGAATTCTTATTGATGATATGAGAAGGTTTGGGTAAAGAAGTTGCGTACCTTTGCTTTTCTCGAGGTCTCTGGTGTATGGGTGGTGAAGCTTTCTGATTCAGGACAGGGCTCAAGCTTGCAGTAGTAAGATCAACCCGAAAACCATCCATTTTTGGCAAGTTCGGACTGTCGTGGCGAGGGGCGTCGATCGACACCATGGTGGTGTCGCTCGACACTGAGCCTGATGCTTGTGTTTCAGCATTTTTTCTGCAATTTGTCTCAGCGATCCTCATCTCTAGCACAAAAACATCATCTTTCAATAACTTAGCAGTAACTAGACCCTCGCTTTGGTCCCTAGCAGTAATATCTTCTGAATACTCTATGACTGCCACGTCATCCATGGCTTCCTCTAGAGAAAAAGTCTGGCCATCAATAGTACGTGCTCTCCTTAACTTGTCCATGTCAAAGTTCATAACCAAGTCACCCACATGCAGTCCAATCGTTCCTTTCTGAACATCTATAAGAGCACCAGCGGTAGCCAAGAAAGATCTCCCAAGGATAAGAGGATCCTGAGGTTCTTCGCTATACTTCAAAACCACAAAGTCTGTAGGAATTATGCATTCACCAATCCTTATTAGAACATCCTCTAAAAGACTTTCGGGAATTCTTTTAGACCTATCAGCTAGGATAAGAGAGATCCTAGTAGGCTTGAAATCTGTCAACCCAAGTCTCACAGCAACAGAGTATGGTATCAAGTTGATACCTGAGCCAAGATCACAAAGAGAGTGAGGAAATCTCTCTGTGAAGATAGAGCAGTCTAGCACGAAACTTCCTGGATCAGGTAACTTCTCTGGAATCTTGCTCTGAATCATGGCACTAACTTTTTCAGAAACAAACACTTTCTTCTTCTTCTTCTCTTTCTTACTCTGCGGGGTCTGCTTCAAGAAGATAGCACCC